GCCAAAGGTATGATTACGTTTTAATTTTCAGCTGAAAGTTTAAGGTTGCTTGGTTAATTCAAGGAAGCAATCATCTGGGCGGATAAAGCATTATAATTAGATCCAAAGCATTGTAATTCATTATATTGCAAAGGTATTTTTAATTCAATTTGTCAGCTGAGAGTTTAAGGTTGCTTAATGAATATAAGGATGCAATAATTTGGGCAGATAAAGCATTATAAATAGATCCAAAAGATTGTAATTCATTATAAGTCAAAGGTATGAATTTTGTTTATTTAAAGGTGACTCATTAAGATCCTTAAGAATGTTTCCATAAGCAATGTAATAGATTGATTAATCACTAAAAATCAATCCAAATCATTTTGCTTCATTATTGGCAAAAGGTTGATGATTCTTTATAATTTATAGGTGCTTGTTTACAAGATCAGTATTAATTTCAAGAAGCTGTAGGTTTTTATTAAAAAGCTTTAAAATTAAATTCAAATCATTAATATACGAAATCTAAGATGGGTATTATATATTAAATCTATTAAGATGAATGTGTTAAAGCTTTATATTTACTCAGATGAGTTTTAAAAGCTTTAAAAAAGATTGAAAAGTACAAAAAATAAAAAATATACATTAAAATTATATTCAATATTTTTACACTTTAATAATTATTTTTGTTTGATTACTTTATTGATTCCTCTAAATCATCGACTTTTTCATGATTTATTTATGCTTTTCCATTATTAAAATAAGTACTAATTATACTGTATTTATAGAAATCAATTGAAGCATTGCTATTTTATATGATGAAGTCCTTTTTGTGAGCATAGCATAAGAAAGATTTTAAGATTATTGAATTATTTTTAACATATGTGTAAGTTTTAATGCTTGTCAGATAATAATCAAAATAAAAAAAATTATTCTATACTAAATATTAATGGTCTGAAAGATTTTCTTTGAATCGAGTCCAGGTCTTTCTTAAATTGCAGATTTGTGAATAGTAATGCTCACAATAAGAAAGGAAAACTAACAAATTATCATTGTACATTGGTTTTAAGTATAAATTTCTTTAAAACCAAAGGATTTGTGGAAATTTATTAATATATGTTTGTTCTCCTCATCTATAAATACTTTATATTCATATCCATTTATCTTCTTTCAAACCATAAAAATTATAATTTGAAAAAAGGATTGCTGCAATTCATATTTTCTATGAATTAGCTTATGAACTAAAAAACCATTTTAATTCATGATCCTACCATTTTACCACTAAGCAGTTTAAAACAATCTTCTAAAATTTAGATTCATAGGATTTCATCCAAAATTTTCTCCTAACCAAAAGGACTTCTTTTTTATTATATGTTTATATCGCCGTTTCTTCCAGTTGCAGTTGTTAATTTACAGAAATACTCTCATAAAGGTTTCATCTTATCCTATATATGTTTAGATCCTAATTTATTTACTTTTTTTTGAAAACAATTTTCATCTAATTATTCAAATTTATCCTTCTTCGCTTGGAAATCATTTTTTTTACACTAGAAATTGAACTCAGATAATTGATTAGTCCATTATTTCGAAATTATATTAAATGCTTTATTTCATCTAAAAAAAAATTCTTCTCTAAAAAGGGTAATGTTTGATTGTATACTAAATTTTTTAAATACTAATTTGAAATAATATTACTATATAAGACTTAATCTGTTTTACTATTATATATATATCCACATATAATAAACAAAAGATATACAACTAATTTTTCAATTAAAAAAATTCAAAATTTATATTACAAATGGATTATGTTGAATAATTTAGAATAGCCTAAAATAAATTCTTAAATAACTCTAAAGAATTTGAAATTAAAATAATAATTTCAAAGTGATTTTAAAGACTTAAACTTTATTATAAGCTCACTTTTTAAGACAATGGGAATAATCCTTAGAGTATTTGAGCTTTCAACTTTTATTCTATAAAAATTTCTTAAGAAAGGCACTGGGATAACCTTCAAGATTAAATAATTTACTTTACATTCCTGTTATATTTTGAGATAACTTTATTGATAAATTGAAATTTTTTTGTAAACTTGCTGTTTAAAAGATGTATCATTAATATTATAAAATTCTTTTTTTCTATTTCTTAAGGACCAATTGTGTATGCACTTTTAATCCACTTGGTTTATTGATTATTCATTCCCCTAATAAATCTAAAGAATTTAATAACCTCATCTAAAATTCAAAAAACAGCAACCATTAAAAAAGGAGGTTTTACAAAAAATTGTATATAAATTAGCATTTATGCATTGGACTTTGATCATAAGGAAGTGCTGTCTATATGTTTTAGGGTCTATTTTGATAGAAATTTTTTCAAATGCTTAAATTCCTTCTTAATTATAAGAAGAGGAGTGAAAAATATTAGGAGCATTATAAAGGCAATATACTTTGATTAAGTGGAGTAACAAAATCCAAAGAAATTTGATAATAGTCAATGGCTGAGAATAATATTAGAGCTTGTTCTAAAATAATTAATTCAACATAAATCTAATAAGCTAATTATTTTATTTACTAGTCAGATTTTAAAGTACATATATAATCAGAATTAAGTTGAAAAATTGATGATTTAGTTACCAAAATTTAGTGTAATATTTATAAAAAAAAAAAGTAAATGCAATATTTATTTATATTTTGTACACAAGCATATTTAAATTTAAAAACAACTTCAAATATTGATTAACATAATATTATAAATAATTAAAATAATAATTTAATCAAATTTTTTTCTCTAGTTTCTTTTTGTTTTCATTCCATAAATTTTTTTTTGAGTTTTTATTGCAGTAATCTAGATAGCCAATAATTTATGATTAAAATAATAAGAGTTTCAAAAAATATTTATAATATTTAAGTTTTTTTCAATACCCAAATTAAACATAAAATGACATAACATCAAATTAATTTATTGAGTGAGACAATATAATAAATTTAAGAAAATTACAATTATTGTTAATATTTTTTTTAATTGGTCTAGACAGGTTTACTTAGTAGCTTTATATTATGTCAATATTGAGAAATATTCTTTGCCAAAAGGTGGATAATGACCACTCTTACACTTCATTATATCTCAAAATTTGTTATATGACTCTGTCTTACTATTAATTCTGGAATTTCTCTTTCAAAAAATACTCTTTTCCTTTCCAAATTATAAAACATTAACTTTTGGATTTGGCAAATATGTTGTTCATCTATTTTGAATTTCCTACTTTCCAAAAAGGATTCACTCTTTTTTTGGATATTTTTAATTTATTAAACATTATTATATGAAGATAAAGAATAACAATAAATCAAGACGATATCAATACAAAAATGCATCTTAAAAAAGCAAGTAAAATATTTTTAATGTTTGATAGAATACAACTCCTTCAATTCCAAAAACTCCTCATATAATCTGTTATAGAGTCTCTATCATCTATTAAAAAATAGACATCAATAGAAAATAAATTATAATTGTGCCTTTAAGTTCAAATTAAGTAATTAATAAAATTATTGTAAAAAAATAATAAGATAATGATTATGACTTATTAAATTTATGAGGCAAAATTTCTGAATTGACATTTTTTACATATTTCATTAGTCTCTTAAGGAAAATTCATTATTGTTAAAAGCATTTATTATTTAAAACCTTTAAAAACTATATCAAAATACATAATTCCTTTTGAGTTAATCTATGTTTATGTTAGCGAAAATCTGAAATAAATCATTACATTTAACTTTCTATTATACAGTATATCTTCCTTTTAACGTCTAGATACTGGAAGGAGAAAAAACTTAAGGAATATTTTCAAAATGATGATTAAGAGAATTATAACAATATATAGATTTGAATTTATATGTTAATATCATCAAATGAGTCAATAAAAAACCTAGAATCGAAACTTATTTAATATATGAAAAATTGATAATAAATAAAAAAATAATAATTTAGTATCTACGAATTATTGCTCAAAATGAATTATATTTTATATCAGAATACCATTATAAATCAAAAATAAAATATACTTAACTAATCTAAATCATTTTTGATAATTGATTTTATTTTGCTGGAACATTAGCAGCTATACTAAAAAAAGGACTATAAGATGTTAAATATTAATTTATATCTATTTCATTAATTAATCTCAATTTTATAAGACCATTTTAAATAATCTTAAAATTCTATAATTGTTGAATAACTGCTAATTATTATAGAAAATTTTAATAAATACCCTCTTTATTAAATTACTTAAGCTTAAGCAAACAATAGCTTATCTATATAATTAATATTTTTGGTAATTTATTCTTTCTATAACAATAATTGTAGCTACTTTCATCATACTATATTTCTTAAATACATAAACATGTTTAAAGAAATGATTGTCAGTTCTTTGATGACTTTTGTTATTCGTCTAACTAATTTACTATAAAAGAATGGCTAAGTTTGATTTTTATGGAGATAATTAATAATAATAATAAGTTAAAATATAGAGTATTTATAATTTACTTTCAAAGATTAGAAGCTCAATTTGGGTAAATTCCATAAATATTTTTTGTTTTAATTATGAAAAAATCTCGAAATTCTAAATTTTAATTTAAACCAAAAATTCAAGAATTTCTAAGATTGTAATAATATAAATAGTACTCTCCAAAAATAAATATTATTGATTTTAGATAAGCATCGTTCTTTTTTTTTGATATTAAAACAAGTATATACAAAATAAGTAATACTAAAGGATTAATTTATATTGATTCTTTTAATTCTTATATTCAATAAAAGCTATGAATTAATTAAATATTAATCAATTATTAATAAATCAATGAAATGGAAAATATATATTATATCAATCACTTTGTTATTATTGAATACTTAATTAGAAGCTTATCAGCTTTGTTTCAAAAGATAGGCTAGAATAAGATCAATTCTTAGGGGAAATTATTAAAATGCTTTAAATTAAAATAGAGGAGCTTTAATCTCATCTAAATTATAAAATGGTTTTGCTGGGGGAATATAAGGCAGTAGTTTAAGGGATAATATTTACACTATTACAGGAGGATTTGGATATACAGCTAGTGCAATTGGAAATTCAATAATATTTGATTTATAATAATAATATGAATTAAATACTTTAAAAGTATGGTTGTGGGATTAAGATGATAGAGTCTATAGATTAAAAGTTTATTTAATATAAAACGATGTAGAAACTTAAATATTTGAAAGTAATTTTGTTTAAAAAATACTAACAATCAAATTTCCTGATTAATAAGTTTAAAAATTTAAAATATATAATGTAAATGGTAATACTTATAATGTTGGACTTCACATTATAAAAATAGAAGGTTTATACAAACTTTAAACAAATATGTGAAATTAATGTTTTTATAGAATTAATTAATTAAATAGTTATTAATCTTCTTAATGTAATAAAATGAAATAGCTATATCAACTATTAAATTTTTTTAGATTTATTGATTGATACNATGTAAAATTTAGAAAATCAAGATAAAAATGCCAAAGAATTAGAATTAATTGTTTGGGATTAAGGAAATAATGGATTGTTAAGACAAACTATTTTAACTGTAATTCAAAATTAAATCGATGAAGTTACATGTATTAAAAATGGATTTATTTTATAATTTAATGTATTGGAAAAATAACTTCATTTTAGAAATAAGATTTAATTGATGACTAAAAAATCACCAAAAATCTTGTTAAAATTAATCATTTTAAATGGAAAGGAAAAGAAGGTAAAGAGAAATAGAAAATTGGTAAATGGGAAGTATATTGGAAAAACAAAGTATAAAATATAGGAGGATATTATGATAATTAAGGTCTAAAGTAAGGATTGTGGTAGGAAGAGTATGAAAATTTCTGGGAGTACTTTATTTTATAAATATGAAGTTATGCTTAAATTGTTTACGTTGGAATTTATCATAATGGAATATAAAGAAATAGATGGGATACTATTATGAATAATAATATTATGTAATCATTTATAATCAAAATGTAGTGGAGGGGGTAATTATGATCATAATGGAAAAAAGACAGGCAAGTGGGTTGAATTACATTTAAATTACTTTAAACAGAATTATGCTTATTGCGATGCCACTTATGAAGGAGAGTATTTAGAAGGGAGAAAATACGGATATTGGTAAACATTTCTCTCAAAAAAAATTATGTAATTTATAAATATAATTATAGTGGAGGAGGTTTTTATAATCAGGATGGATAAAAGGATGGTTTTTGGATTGAATTGAATGATAACTTTTCATTGTATTTAATAGAAATTATACATAGTGGTAATTAAGTTATTTACAAGGGTAACTATAAGAATGGTTTACAAATAGGAATGTGGGAAATTGTAATAGTTTATGACGGAAAACAAATATATATGTAAAATATAAAAAATAGTAAAGTGGGGGAGGTTCTTTTAATGATAATGGAAAGAAAAATGGTAGATGGATTAATTTAGCTATAGATTGGTTGAAGTATATTATAAAATGCATAGGATAGTGGTAACAAGGAAATCTTTTATATTGGTGATTATAAGAATGGATAGAAAATAGGGTAATGGAATATTCATAATTGGTATAACAAATCCATGTATTATTTACATCATAAACTTTTAAGTGGTGGTGGAGAATTTTAAGAAGGAGTGAAGAATGGATAATGGATTGAACTGCATGATAATTGGCATTAAAAGTTCTTATTCTTTTTTATTTAGGTGGCCATAAATATCTTATCATGGTAGTTATTAAAATGGAAAAAAAAATGGAAAATGGGATACTTATGATAATTATAATGGAACAGATAAATATATGTTAAATTTTAATATTATAAGAAGTGGTGGTGGGTAATTTTAAGGAGGAATTAAAGATGGAATATGGATAGATGTGCATGATGATTGGCGTCCAGGGTATTTAATAAATTTAATTAATAGTTGGAGATAAATCATTTATCATGGTGAGTATTAGATGGGCAAAAAAATTGGAACATGGAAAATCTTAGAGAACCCAGATAAATAAATGTAAAAATTTAGAATATCATAAATTTTAAAGTGGTGGAGGAGATTATAATGAATATGGAATGAAGAATGGTAAATGGTTTGAACCTGATGAAAAATGGGATAAAAAGTATTTTAATAATTATAAAATCAATAGAAATTTGGAATTCATTTATGAAGGTGAATATAAGAATGGTTTAAAAATCGGTTAATGGAATCGTATAGATAATTTGAATGGGATAAATAATAGTTTATATGAACATTATAGCGAAGATGGATTCTTCATAGAAAATGAATTATGATGACAGTATCAAAAATAATATTATATTATTTAAACTAAATATAAATGAAATTGATTTCAAACAATTTATATAGAAAAATATATAATATATAATTTAATGAAGATATAAAAATTAATATTTATATCCAAACCAAATAGAATAAAACATCTAGCTTTAAAATATTATTATAATGAGATATTTAAGCTATCTAGAAATATTGCCAAATGAAATAAAAAGAACTAAATTTACAATAATATTATTTAGAATATAAAAATTTTATTTAGGAAAATATAAAATTTATAGGTATAATATTATAATTACATTATCTGCTATTGCCTTTATAAATAGAAAATGATGATTATAAATTCTAATATATATATAATTTTTTGTATCTTAAAACTAATAATTTAGATAACAATTATCTTGTAATTTAGATATTAAATTGATAATATTTCATTTTTTATTTGATTTTAAACTTGATAATGTAAAATTAGCCATTATCTTAATCTCTGTTATTTATTTGTAAGATCTAAATATTTACGTTAAATATACATAGCCTTAAAAATAAAGGAATCAAAAGTTTTTGAATTGTAAGTTTTTGATTTCATCCAATGACTAAAAATTTTTTGATTATCAATACCTAAAGGAAATGAATAAATATTTTAGTTTTGATCTGGAGAAGTTTAAATATCTAGTTTTTCTATACTCAATGATTTCATAGATAATTCATCATTTAAACTATTAGAAATATAATTATCAATATGTAATTAATATTCATCTCCTAAAAGTAATTTGAATTAATTTATTATTTTTTTAGCATTTTGTTTTTCTTTTTATAAAATTTATTTCAATGTATTTTTATATTAATTTATCAAATCAGTATGAATTGAATTTGAAATATTTAATTATAAGATTATCTTATTCCTGCATATAACAATCATAGGATGACTAGGGTTTTCTTTAAAATGCTCTTTTACAGCTATTAAAGAATATAAAAGATTGACAAAATTTTACAAATCTTCATAAACATAATATTAAATTTCTTTTAATTCACTTTAATCAATTTCATTGCTTTCCTCCTATTGAATAGTACTTATTTCTGTAATATTAGTTGTTTAATTATTTATTTCAGTCTCTTCAAAATCAGTAACACTTGTTACTTATACAATATTTATAATATTATTGAGTATTTAAGTACATTAGTTATAGTCATTGAAATTTTTAAATTATTCTAATTTTAATTTCATTTTTACACATAATGCTTGATTTATTTTAATAATTTAATTATTGAATTGTGATTCATTAATATCTTAAATCTTTTCATTTGATATTAATATATCAAGTTCTTAAAAGAAACTATAATCTCTATGTATTTATTTGATTTAATCAAAGTTGTTTATCCATTCTTTTGTATTTTCAATTAATTAATCAAGTTCTTGATTAAAATATGATTTTAATGAATAAAGATGCTTTTACAATTGATCAATTTATTTAATATTAGGTTAAATGATATTTTCTAATAATTCTAATAATCTTGCTTAATTTTCTTCAATTAATTATTATGCCTTTTTGAAAGTTACCATTTTAGTTATACTATCAAAATCTTCCATACATTTTGTACATAATATCCTATCTTTTTATGATAATTTAGGATCAAACACTACCATATATGGTTGTAAATTATGATTATTAGCACAATTTAGGTCATTTATTTATTCAATCATTTTTGGGATCATCTTATCTATTAATAACTTTATATTAATATATATATATATATAAATTAATATTGATTTTTATTAGAAAATACTTAGATATAGAGTTTATGAATTAATATTAATTAAATGATCTGTTAAAGTAACTAAAAACCTCCCTTATTATTCCAATATTACAATTTAAATAGAAAAGGAAAGTAATATAAATCTTAGATAAATGGATTTATATTGATAGAAATTAACTCATTTATTAATATCATTTCTAATCTTAATTTTCTCTAATTTAAATCTCATTTAAGGTAGGATCATAAATTATTAGAAATTCTCTATTATCACTAATGGTACCATTTATGCTAATATCCTTAAATTCAATTGATTATGCTACTCTACACTCATAATTTTACAAGTTTTGAAAGATAGAAAATTATAAAATGTTTACAAAATTTCCATTAATGCTTAATAAAAAATTTTTAGATGAAACATAGGTACTATTATGATTATTTTATCTTATTTAACTAATCCTTTACAAATTATTTCACTAGATTTTATATATTCTCTAATGTTGCAATCGAATGAGTAGATTGATAATGCTTAAGATTAAATTGGTTAGAAAGTGAACATGAAATTGTTTATAAAACAAAAATTTTATCCAATAATTGGCAGAGTTTATTTTAATTTCCACTCAGAATTATGTAATTCTCGTATTGTGATATTCTAAAGATCACAAACTACTAATTAATTTCCATTTTGATTAATTGATAAACCTCTAATTTCATCAAGTGAATTCTAAATTTTTTATTCACAAACCCAAGATTTTAAAGAGGATAAATAATGGATTTAAGAATTAAGAGCAAAAATAATCTGATTTTCTTCAGAGTTCAATTACAAAAATTTAATCTCATAATTACGTATTATCCAATTATGTTCAGGTTTTTATTTTAGTTTAAATATTGGATTCCATTTACTTTTATTAAAAAATTGGTTGCTTATGACCAGATGATAATTAAGCAACCATCAGAACTTGATATGAATGAATTTAAAATTGCTGTTTTCTTTTTGAAAAAAACAAGATTTTATACTTTATAGATTCCTACATCTTTAAGAGTTATTACTTAATTGGTATTGTATTTTTAATATTACATATCTGATTAGATTTCCATAACTTTGATACCTTCATCTAATCCAATTAAAAATAGAGAGTTATCATGATTGATTGCTAAAGTATAACAATCTACTTTCTTTTTTAATTAGAATTTTGATATTATTTCGTATGTTGATTATTTATTATTATTATTTATTGTATTAGGTGATAAACAGATAATATTTTCTGGTGTTTTTCTTGTGTCTTTATATTTAACGAAAAATATCTAATTGTTCATTATTTAATTCAAAATTATTTGTATATCTTTATTTTCTTCGTAGCTCTAGAATCTATCTAAACATCTAATCGTTTCCTAACACCATTAATCATTAATTTTGATTATATCTATTGGTTTATTATGTAATCACCCTAATTTTAAATTAAATTATTCAAACAATCAAAAAAACTATAATTTGCCATCTTTTTCCAATATTTATCAGACTTTTTTGAAAATCATTTTACTCTATTTTCCAAATTATCCAATTCTTACATTATTGTTCCTAATAACTTCTAAGCTTTGAATTCATTATCTAGTCAACCAGTAAAATTTTTAGTAGATTAATTCTTTAAGAAATTACTCATTTTTAAGATCCATTTGAGTATCATAAGGAAGTCTTAAGTAAATAATAAAATGATAATGAATACAAAAATTTTCAGTCCTTTATTCATCTGTTTTTGTTGTATTCTAAATTTCTAACAGACAGAATGAAAACTAATTTTAATGAACTAAATTTAGAATTATTTTAAGAAAAAGATAAGTTTATTAAGAAGAACTTGTAAATGATTGATTCTATTGAAAATTAATTACTTAAGTTCTACATAAATATTTTTGATTAAATGAAAAGAATTAATAATCTTTAGTGAAATATTCAAGAATAAAATTAAAATATACAATTCATGGATATAAATACATAATTGATATATTAAATTGAGAATAAAAAAAAATCATCATCATAAAAAGGACAACATATTAATTTTAAAATAAAAATAAGTATCAAATATCAAAAATCAAATATAGGTCTTATAATGTTTAGAATTTTTAATGTATCACTCTTGTACAATCGAAATATTCATAAAGACAAATATTTTCTTAGCATATACTTTATTTGATTAAAGGACAAAGTATGATATTGAAAATTAATAAATAGAAAATTCTGATTCAATTATTGAGAAAAACCAAGAAATTAAAACTATTAGCATGACAAAGGTATAAATTATGATGAATAATTTTTATGTTATTTTTAATTAATTTTTATATCAAATATGAATAGATATGATTAAGCATTAGTAGATTATGATTTAGCTATTCAAAAAAACCCAGAAAAAGCCAACTATTATCATGGAAAAGGTATAAATTGTAATGAACTTTTTTTTAGCAAATATTTTATCCTAAATGAAGAGATATGAGGAAGCATTAAAATATTATGATTAAGCAATTCAGAGAGACCCTGAGAATTCAGACTATTATTTAGGCAAAGGTAAGAACTATGATGAATATTTTGTTAGCAAATGCTTTATTCAAAATAAACAGACATTAAGAAGCTTTGGAATATTTAGATTCAGCTATTCGAAAAAACCCATAAAAAGCTAACTTATATCATTGCAAAGGTATAGATTATGAGTTATTTTTTCTCAGCAAATGCTTTATTTAAAATGAATAGATATGAAGAAGCATTAGAATATTATGATTAAGCTATTCAGAAAAATCCAAACAATACAGACTTTTATATTGGCAAAGGTAAGAACTATGATGGTATTTTTTTTTAGCAAATACTTTATAAAAAATTAATAGATATGAAGAAGCATTAGTTTATTATGATTCAGGTATTAAGAAAAACCCAGAAGTCGCTGAATATTATAATGGCAAGGGTATAAATTATGATGGATATTTTAAAAAGCAAATACGTTATACAAAATGAATAGATATAAAGAAGCTTTGGAATATTTTGATTAAGCTCTTTAACGAAAACCAAATGATGCTCATTATTAGAATAATAAAGGTACAAGTTATGAGGAATAATTTATGAGCAATTACTTTACAATAGTTAAATAGATAAGAATAAGTCTTAGTTTAGTATGATAAACCTAATCAGAAAAACCCATAAAATGCAGACTATTATTTAGGCAAAGGTATTAAAAATGATTAATTTTTTTTAGCAAATAATTTATCCTTAATTAATAGATAAGATGAAGCCTTATTATAGAATGATAAACCTAATCAGAAAAACTTAGAAACTGCAGACTATTATTAAGGCAGAGGTATTATAAATGATGACTATTTTTTTAGCAAATATTTTATCCTAAATGAATAGACATTTAGAAGCTTTAGAATATTAGAATGTGGCTATTCAGAGAAACCCTTTGAATTCAGACTATTATTTAGGGAAAGGTATAATATTTGATGAATATTTCTTAGCAAATATTTTAGAAAAGATGAATAGATATGAGGAAGCATTAGAATATTATGATTAAGCTATCCAGAAAAACTCTNTCGTTTCCTAACACCATTAATCATTAATTTTGATTATATCTATTGGTTTATTATGTAATCACCCTAATTTTAAATTAAATTATTCAAACAATCAAAAAAACTATAATTTGCCATCTTTTTCCAATATTTATCAGACTTTTTTGAAAATCATTTTACTCTATTTTCCAAATTATCCAATTCTTACATTATTGTTCCTAATAACTTCTAAGCTTTGAATTCATTATCTAGTCAACCAGTAAAATTTTTAGTAGATTAATTCTTTAAGAAATTACTCATTTTTAAGATCCATTTGAGTATCATAAGGAAGTCTTAAGTAAATAATAAAATGATAATGAATACAAAAATTTTCAGTCCTTTATTCATCTGTTTTTGTTGTATTCTAAATTTCTAACAGACAGAATGAAAACTAATTTTAATGAACTAAATTTAGAATTATTTTAAGAAAAAGATAAGTTTATTAAGAAGAACTTGTAAATGATTGATTCTATTGAAAATTAATTACTTAAGTTCTACATAAATATTTTTGATTAAATGAAAAGAATTAATAATCTTTAGTGAAATATTCAAGAATAAAATTAAAATATACAATTCATGGATATAAATACATAATTGATATATTAAATTGAGAATAAAAAAAAATCATCATCATAAAAAGGACAACATATTAATTTTAAAATAAAAATAAGTATCAAATATCAAAAATCAAATATAGGTCTTATAATGTTTAGAATTTTTAATGTATCACTCTTGTACAATCGAAATATTCATAAAGACAAATATTTTCTTAGCATATACTTTATTTGATTAAAGGACAAAGTATGATATTGAAAATTAATAAATAGAAAATTCTGATTCAATTATTGAGAAAAACCAAGAAATTAAAACTATTAGCATGACAAAGGTATAAATTATGATGAATAATTTTTATGTTATTTTTAATTAATTTTTATATCAAATATGAATAGATATGATTAAGCATTAGTAGATTATGATTTAGCTATTCAAAAAAACCCAGAAAAAGCCAACTATTATCATGGAAAAGGTATAAATTGTAATGAACTTTTTTTTAGCAAATATTTTATCCTAAATGAAGAGATATGAGGAAGCATTAAAATATTATGATTAAGCAATTCAGAGAGACCCTGAGAATTCAGACTATTATTTAGGCAAAGGTAAGAACTATGATGAATATTTTGTTAGCAAATGCTTTATTCAAAATAAACAGACATTAAGAAGCTTTGGAATATTTAGATTCAGCTATTCGAAAAAACCCATAAAAAGCTAACTTATATCATTGCAAAGGTATAGATTATGAGTTATTTTTTCTCAGCAAATGCTTTATTTAAAATGAATAGATATGAAGAAGCATTAGAATATTATGATTAAGCTATTCAGAAAAATCCAAACAATACAGACTTTTATATTGGCAAAGGTAAGAACTATGATGGTATTTTTTTTTAGCAAATACTTTATAAAAAATTAATAGATATGAAGAAGCATTAGTTTATTATGATTCAGGTATTAAGAAAAACCCAGAAGTCGCTGAATATTATAATGGCAAGGGTATAAATTATGATGGATATTTTAAAAAGCAAATACGTTATACAAAATGAATAGATATAAAGAAGCTTTGGAATATTTTGATTAAGCTCTTTAACGAAAACCAAATGATGCTCATTATTAGAATAATAAAGGTACAAGTTATGAGGAATAATTTATGAGCAATTACTTTACAATAGTTAAATAGATAAGAATAAGTCTTAGTTTAGTATGATAAACCTAATCAGAAAAACCCATAAAATGCAGACTATTATTTAGGCAAAGGTATTAAAAATGATTAATTTTTTTTAGCAAATAATTTATCCTTAATTAATAGATAAGATGAAGCCTTATTATAGAATGATAAACCTAATCAGAAAAACTTAGAAACTGCAGACTATTATTAAGGCAGAGGTATTATAAATGATGACTATTTTTTTAGCAAATATTTTATCCTAAATGAATAGACATTTAGAAGCTTTAGAATATTAGAATGTGGCTATTCAGAGAAACCCTTTGAATTCAGACTATTATTTAGGGAAAGGTATAATATTTGATGAATATTTCTTAGCAAATATTTTAGAAAAGATGAATAGATATGAGGAAGCATTAGAATATTATGATTAAGCTATCCAGAAAAACTCTGAGAATTCAAAATGTTATTAAGGCAAAGGTATAATATTTGATGAATATTTCTTAGCAAATATTTTAGAAAAGATGAATAGATATGAGGAAGCATTGGAATATTATGATTAAGCTATCCAGAAAAATTCTGAGAATTCAGAATGTTATTAAGGCAAAGGTATAATATTTGATGAATATTTCTTAGCAAATATTTTAGAAAAGATGAATAGATATGAGGAAGCATTAGAATATTATGATTAAGCTATCCAGAAAAACTCTAAGAATTCAAAATGTTATTAAGGCAAAGGTATACATCTACATCAATATTGCCTTAGCAATTACTTTAGAAAAATTGAATAGAGTTGAAGAAGCAGTTAAATATTATGTTTTAGCTATTGAGAAAACTACAAATGTAAGTCTAATTATTTTTAATTTAATAGGAATAACTTTAAATTTAATGAATCGATTATTGCAGACATCATTTAGTGGATATAAATTAAATTATTAATTTAAATTAATTAAGTTAATTTATTTTTAGATTTTTAATTTAAAAATGAATATAATAAACTGAATAATCTATTTCATTTTTGAATTATAATCATAATTTCTTAGAATTCTACTTTCTCTTTGGGTTTTATATACTTGTTACTCATTTATAATTGTTTATTACAAACAATATTATAGTTTTTTTCAATTAAACATAAATTAAAAAAAAATTAAACAAAGTTTTCTAATCTAAATGGTTTGATGTCTTAAGATTTATCTAAACATTTTAAAATTATTGAGTTTTTCCTTTATTTTCTTAAAAACTTTTTATAAGTTTTGTCATTATGTTTTGAAATGAAACAAAATATTCTTTTTTAATTGCTATTAAATAATATGAAAAAAGACATTTGTGTAAAATTTCTTTCATATATAATTTCTTATACAACAAAATTTACTGGAAGAAAGTAATGCTAGTGAAATTATAAAAAATTATAGTAGCCATTAAAAGGGTTTAGTTTATTTGGTTCAAACTTGTTTGAAGGACAATTATTGTAAAAACAGATATCTAATAAAATTTTTAATACCTTAATTATTTGTAACTCCTTAATAATTTAATTCAAAAATATTATTTGACAACATATTAATACAATAAAGGTATTTAGTTGCCTCATTCAATTGGTTGGAGTTCCAAAGTTATTTCATATGAATATTTTCAGTTTTAATAAATAAATAAATAAATAAATTAGTAGTCATTACATTATAATATACTTTTTGTTAATAGCTGTAATTTTTCAAAATTTTCTGGCAATTTTTAGCTTGATGGTCAATTTTTGGTATGAATTAATTTAATGTATACATTGAATCAAAGCAGAGAAGCTAAAATGATATAATAATAATTAGTGGAGTAAAGTTTTAAATAAAGTGTGAAACAAACTTGCTATTAAAATTGAATGAGAAAAGTCCCTTTCCCAGTTTTTATAGTAATCTTGTATGAGAAACCAATCCTGTAGACTAAATTTTGATGTTTATCTTTTTTTATTAATCAAGAATTTTCAGTTTAAAAATCATTTTGATTGAAAAATTGGATTGATTCAAGAGTAGTCCATGATTTTTGTATTTTTTCCTTTAAATTATAATCTGTATTGATTTAAATTGATGATTTTATTAGAAATTGAGTTTTGATCAAAAAATAATTTAGAATGGATAATCTGAATTGCAATAAAGTAATAATAAATTTTTCATAAATGGAATTTTATTAATATCTATAAGCATTTCAAACATACTTAATGAATTCTTTGTAAATAATTAATTACAAGATATATTTTTTAATTTAAGAAAAGGCATGTATTTATTATTTATACTTCTAACTTATACTGTTGAATTTAAGATTTTGCTTTTATTTATTTTTATTATCAAATTCCTTATTCATAAAATTGTTATGATTCTTCATTTCAGTTACTTTTCAATTCAGTACACAATACAATAACTATTAAGTCCTGAAGTCTTGGTTTTACATCTTGCCATTAATATTTCTTTACTTCTTGTAAGTAGTTAAGGCATTTGATATTGACAACTTAAAATTGAAAGATAACAAGAGGAAAAATCAACAATGTCCAACATAATATAGAATATTGAAATAGAAATTGTCTTTAAAAACAAGACACAAACCACAAAAAATTAATAATTGATTGATTTTTTTTTTAATTTAAAGAAATGTAATAAAAAAATCCTTCAGTTTAATCTTATAAAAAGGAAGGTTTTATGAGAATATCAAAAAATAATAATTAGAATAAGGTGAATTTGTTAATTGAAAATGAAATGAGATTTCACGAGCCAGCTAATGTATTAATAATAAATATTTCTGATGATATTGTGACCGACTTAATTGACAATGCTCAATGCGGTAAATACAAAGCATCAGGGTTTTTATTTTTTTTTAAATTTAGTCAGTTTAAAGATAATTTATTTTGATAAAGATAAAAATATATACATTTCATTTAAATATATATGAAATTAGTAATAGACCAAAAATAGTTGGTCATGGTATTGGATGACTTAACTTAAAAATATAAAACCATAAATACAGTATGAATAATTGAATTAAGTGTTAATTAACATCTAGTTATGACTGAATATGTATGCGATAAGACTGGCAATCTAAATAAAAGTTAATTCAGAGTGAGATTTATAATTATTGAAGATATGATTATTAAATTTGGATAGAATATCAATTGAAGCTAACTTTTAATAAATAATAAAAATAAAATAAGAAGAATATTCTAATTAATAAATTGCTCTTGAATAATGATCTAAAAGTAGAAGTAATGGCTTCAAAAACAGAGTGTAAGAAAATATTAGGAAAATAGATAATTATATATATACTAAGAATTAAAATAAAGAGATGAAAATTTAATATGAAATTTTTAGAAATAAATCTTTAGTCATTTACATTATTAGTGAAATATTAATCAAGCAAAAAAACAGTGCTATTTATGGTTGTAAGTTCAAACTATTTCTATTAACATTATGATGAAAATTGATTATAATTCTTATTGTTAGTTTTTGAATTCTACTTATTAATTTTTTATATATAGATTTAGATTAATATAATATAGTATAAATTATGATTTGCTTTTTTTAATTCTTTTTGTTCAAGTCCCTTATCAAGTAAATTAAATTACAAAATTAGCGAAGTATAGAGTGAATGTAATTTTTTCTCTTATCAACCAATTTTACATGTTACAAAAGCAGAAATTGAAGAATATTTATCAGATAATTAGATGTAGTAATAGGCAAATACTGGATATGGTATCTGGATGAAGTATTAACCATTTAGAAGTATTGATGATCTAAGTATCCATCATATAATTGATATTAGGAAATAGATATACTTAAGAAGATAATGGTTTGAATTATTAAAAAGTTGTTAAGGGCGGACAATTTATTTATTCTATAGAATAAGGACAAAGTTAATAGAATATAATTGTTGTTTCTGTTTATATTGATATTGAAAGTGAATTAATCCAACATCATGTACTTTACTCCACTTTGTTGAAATAGCATAAATTATAATTTACTTAGGATAATTAATTATATGAAGGAGTCTGGATTATGTTTTTTGTATTTTTTGATGTAAACTAAAAAAAAACAACCTTTGGATACAATAATCTTAAAGGAATGTCATAGATTTAAGTAGTGTAGGAAATTCCATTTTTAGAATAAAAGATTAAACATATTTAAGGAGGTCTTTATTAATATATTGATAATTAATAAACACTAGTCATATTAGATTAATTTCAAGGTCAGTTATCTTATGCTTTTACATCAAAATTTGAGAATATTTTTGATGATATAAATCTTTGTGTAAATAGATTCATGAGATATTTTTATTGTCAAGAATTTGATTATGTTTTGACTGATTGGAACTAATAAATGAAGGGAGATATATATATTCATTAAACTACAATTGAATTAGACGTTCCTAAATATGTAATTCATGGATGGATAAAATTAAACTTAATATATTAATATAATCTGGAAACTATAATATTTAGAATCACAATAAATAAAGATTATAATGATGATCTTAACTTAGGTGATCAAGTTGCTCTACTTAAATATTACTAAAGTAATATTCCAGCTGAAAATGGTTTTGAATTATCTACATATTCTTATTAATTTCCTGTTAAAATACGATATTAGACTCAGAAGGATGATAAGATAAGTGATTATGGTGATTAATACTCAGAATTATTTATTTAATGGCATTACATCTAATATGAATTTGGGTCTGATAATATTGGAGGATAACCAATTTTTTCAATTTATTTCCCATCTATAGATAAAGTGAGAAGGTTCTAATGGAACAAGATAATAAGGCATTTTACAGGAGCTAAACTTGAAATTTATTTAGGTGGAGATGATTATACTAATTTTTTTATGAAAGGATTTATAAGTGAAATGACATTTACTATTTTTTGTGAATCAGCACCCATTAAGAATCCTCCTTGTCATTTTACTTGTTTTACTTGTAATGGTCCTACATAATTTAATTGTATTAGTTGTTCAGAGACTTAATTTAGATATTTTTCTAATATTGAAAACTCTTGTATTTGTTAAGATGGTTATTATGAAAATGATGTTGGGATTTGTGAATCTTTAGTTATTTCATTACCTTAAATTTTAAGATAGGAAGTTGAAATTAAATGCAAATTAATAGGTTATAATATTTGTAATGAAGATTAAATTGAATGTACGTTTGGGTATTTTTAAATCCAAAATAAATGCATTTAGTGGTATGAAATGATATATTGGTTAGTCCTCATTATAGTGAAATAATGTCTATCGTCCATTTTACATGTTTTAATTGTATCATATCTCCTTAGGAATTTGCCAAAAACTTAACTTGTTTTTAAGAAGCAAGTACCTATTAATACAATTAAGAATATATTTATCAAATAAGATTGAAAAATTAAAATGAAATTAGCTTTTATGAAATTTCTGTTGGTTAAGATTAAAACTTTGAATTAGTATTATGTATTAATTGTGTTGGAAAATAATTATGTAAGCCAGGCTATTTTTATACAGATAATTAATGTATAAATTGTATTGAAGGTTGTCAAACATGTTTAGATATTAATAATTGTGATTAATGTTATCCAAATTATTATAGAGATTTTGAAAATAAATGTAAAAGTTGTTAAAATTGTGCAAGTTGTACAGCTTATAGAGACGATATATATTGTGTTACTTGTGAAGAAAAATAAATATTAGTAATTGCAACTTGTCTTTAATGTGGAAGGAATTGTGATTAATGTGATGACTATTAATATTGTAATTTTTGTATCGGATCTCCATAAGATTATTATATTTCATTAGATGGAATAAATTGTAATGTCTGTAACATTGATAATTGCATTTATTGTTTTGAATATTATTTTAACAACAATCAGTACTTTACAACATTAGATATTAAATTCTCTACTTTTAATTCTCATTTTCATTAAATAAATGTAGGGTGCGCTTTGTGCTCTAAAAACTACTTTTATAATTAGAATACTTAATAATGTGAATTGCAGATATTTGATAACAATTATAATTGTGAGTTTGCTATTATAAATTAATCTGATTTTAGCAAAAAATGCATCAGAGGCTCAGAAAATGCATTTGCTATATAAATATAAAAATGTCCAGGTATATCATTTTGTCTTGAATGTATAAATAATTATAAAGATAATGATCCATTTTGTATCATTTGTTAAGATGGATATTATTCACATATCTTAACAGGTCAATGCAGTCTTTGTCCTAATGATTGTAAGTCATGTATTTAATAAAACAAAAGATATAGAGATTATTGGAAGTGGGATATTAAGGCATTTTATAAGTTTTTTCTTAATGGAAATAATGACCATCCTTTTGAAGATTTTGCATCTAATTCTTCCGAAAAAGAAATGGAAATTATATGTACTTCTTGTCATATCGGATTTATCATAGATTAATTCAAATGCATATAAGATTGTGATAAAGCTTGTTAAAAATGTGAAATTATAAATGGAAAATCAACTTGTATTAAATGCAAAGAGACTTCTAAGAGTCTTTTAAAAAGTTAGAGTAAAGATGGAATTTGTTAACTTTGTCCTTCAAATTGTGTTGCTTGTTTGGACAGATAGGAATCTGAAATAAAAAAAATCAACCCCTATTTTATTTTAACTAGTTAAAATGTATAATAAACAAGAATTTGTTTTGAAATTTCTTAAAAGACCTTATCAAATACTCATTATCATTATGATACATTCACCTAAACTGTATCAACTTGTAATTAGAATAAACAATGTTATAATAGAATAATTTTTAAATTAAATTTGTTTTGTGATTATTCAGATTACTTTGAAAAAATGTTTTCTTAGAATGATATATATTTTGCCAAGACAAATCTACCTCTTGATAGATTTTATGATGAATACTACTTAAATTTTTATGAATCCCAATAGCTTTATACTTATTTAAATGAAATTTAAGTTAAATATGCTTCCTATGAATTTACATTAATATAAGGTTATGCTGAAGAGTGCCTTATGAAAAATAACCTAAATATTTACTCAACCTTATTATAAAATGTATTTACTTTGTAAAAAATTGACATAGAATTTTTAGGGAAAGAGTATCCAACAAAATTAAAAATTGATTCACAAATTAATTTCAGTAATTTTACATCTGTGACATTTACTAATATTCAATTTAATTTTGGTGAAAATATATTTACTTTTTCAGATTCTACTTTGATTAATTTATATAATTTAAAATTAACTTTAGTCTTAAGCTTTAATAATTGCATTTTTATAACTAAAAATGGATTAAACAAAAATTACACATTATAAATTAATTCTAATACTCCTTATTCACTTATAATCAACAATTTAATTTTGGAAACATTTCATATTTATTCATCAAATCTATTTTAATTTATTGCTTAAATGAATGGTTAAAAGAATTATCTTTTTTTAAAAAATCTCATAATCAGAAACTCTTTTTTTTTTAACTCCACATTATTTAAATTTATTGCTAATATCGATAACTTAAATTATAATTCAAATTTTTCTGAAGTTGAAGTAAGAGATACTATATTTTTGTAATCTTCATTTATATTAAGTAGCAGCCTTTTAAATTTTACAACTGGAACTATATTAATTGAAAAATTAAGGCTAAATCATTTTAGAATGTTATTAAATTCTAATTTTGTTTAACTTCCTTCTGTTATTTATGCAAAAATTGAAGAAGTTGAGTTAGAGAATTGTTAATTTCTTAATTACTCTAAATTTTACTCATCAAATATAATTAATATTGAAAATAGCATTGTGAATAATACAAAAATTATTGATAGCAATTTGATAATAAATGATGTAGATTATTCAAGATCTTAATAAGCTTTGTTTGAATCATCTAGAATTTAAATAAAGTCTTGCTAATTTTTGAATAATGAATATAATAATCATTAGTAAATAATACTTATTAAGAGATATGTAGAAATAACTAATGCTTCTCTTTAAATAGAGAATTTATTCATGTTAAACAATAGATTGACAACAAAGATATAACAAAATTAAATATCATATCACTAATCTATGATTTATATTGAATGCTAAATCTGTTTATTACAAAATATAATCATCTCAAGAGGGTATGGATTTCCGGAATTTAGTATCCTTAATTCTGATATATTGACAATACGGAATTTAACATTCTAATAAGATTAACGATACTTCTCAAAAACTTTACATACATCAATAGATTGTGTTAAAAAATTTACAATCATGGATTTATATTTCATTATATTTATTGGTTAATATCAAATTGTGAATATAGAATCATTTAATATTATAAATTCGTTAAGTTTTAATAACCCTTATATCATATTTTAAGGATATGACATAATGAAAAAATCAATAAATGAATCCATTATTATCTAAGATTCAAAATTTTTAAATAATTAATTAATAATTACAGACTCTAACAAAAATACTGCTTTAATTTCAATAGCATCATCATAATAATGTTCATTATATATTTCTAATAATGATTTTTTAAATAATCATTTGAATGAATATTTTTAAGATTAAACAAGCATATCATCAGCTACATTATATATATCTTTATAATAAGGATTAATTTAGATTAAAAACTGCACATTTTATAAAAATCTTGTAACTAATTCTAGTGATTCAATTATTTACATAAAATCAACAATCTTAAATTTATAAAATCTAGACTTTGCTAATAATAATATAAAAAATACATCAAATTTGATAAAAAGTATAATTTTTGCAGAAAATGAAAATTTAAGTTCAATTAATTTTGAAGCAGCATTTCCAATAAAATCTAGAAGTGGAAATGGATATTTTATTGTTAAAGAACTAATTATTAATAATATTTCAATTAATAGTTCTAATTCTTTATAAGGGGGAGGTTTCTATATTGCCACATAAGGAATGAGCAAAATATTAATATCAAACTCTTTTTTTACAAAAACATAAACTCAACTGCAGAGTTCTGTCTTTTCTAATGGAGGATGTTTATACATTGATGCCTCTTTGTCTTAATTTACATTTTCTCTAATAAATTCATCAATAGATACATCATTTGCTAAATAAGATGGAGGAGGAATTATTATAATTCCATCAGAAATATATAATGAGATTTAGTTGATAAATGTAAAGATTAAAGATTGTTTTTCATTAAATAATTCCTTTTTATCATTTATTCCAAATAAGGTTGAAAATTTGCTTTCAACTATAACATTTTAAAATGTTGATTTTTATTAAACAGAAGAGGGGTTGAATATGTACCTTTCATTACTAGAATAACTTACTAATTCATAAGCATCTTAATTAGCAAATTCTAATCCATTAATTTTTGTTAAGTTTAGTAATTTCACTTTGGATAATTGTAACTTTTATTCAACTTATATGTAATTTTTGGTTTATTTGGACTCAGTTGATAACATAATTTTAACAAATATTAAAGTCATTAATAGTTCAACATTTAATTCTCCTTTATTTAAAATAAATATAAGAGCAGGTAATTATGATTATATTTACAATAGAATTTTCTGGATTCATAAGGATTTAAAATCTTGAATTTACTAATATTATATAAAATTAAAAGTTTGAAGAAGGTACTTGCGTATTAATAAAATAAACTTAAGAAAATTAATTATAATGTCCAGAAGAACCCTCAAAAAATAGTGTAACTATAAATGAGCCAGATTTTACATAGAATCAACTAATTTGTAATAAAATTTTAATATTTTCAAACTACTAATATAATTTTAGTCTTTTCGAAATAGACTAAATAAATTCAAATCAATAATTATTTGTTTAAAATATCCAATTTTTAAATATAATTTGTGAAACATGTTAATTTGGTCTAATGAGAATTCTTGGATTTAAATAATTGGTGGGTTCAAACATGTAATTCTCTTATATTTATATAAAAAATAGTATATGTGGAAATTCAGGTTGTTTATCAATTATTAGATCAATTGATGTATCCTATTTTTCAAGAAGTTTATAAGATAATAATCGATTATTAAACTCACTTAATTACGATAATTTAGAAAGTCAAATGAAATAATAATTATCCATAGTTAAAAGTGTGTTTATAAATAACACAGCTTTATTAGGAGGTTCTCTATATTTAATAGATATTGAAACATTAATTAGAGAATGTATATTTATGAATAATTCTGCACGTGTAGGTGGAGCTATCTACTACAATTCCAAAGAGAAATAATTGTTAATATTAGAGACTGATATCACAATGAATCTTGCAGATATTGCAGGTGGATTGTTCATTAATTCCTAATATCTTTAATTGACAAAAGACTTAGATGTTTATCTAGCCAATAATAATTCAACTTTATATGGTAATAATATAGTAGAGAAACCAAGATCATTAACATTATCCTTAAATGGAGGATTTTCATTTTTAGAAAATAAACACTTTTTTCGTTCTGAAACTGAGATGATTGAACAAATAATTCTCCATCCTTATACAACATATGGTTTATCAACTCCATAAGTATATCTAAAGTTACCATCTGGGTAACCTATTGTTGCATATGAATATTTTGACTATCTTACTTTTAATTCTATACCTTATAATTATCAATTTAGAATTATTGCTTTAGATAAATTTAAACAATAAATTAAAGGTTTAGATAATTCATATTGTTATTTAAAGCCTTAAGTTTTTAATATATCTGCTTAGGCTGAATAATTAAATATAGTATTTAGCCTATCTTTCTACAATATTAGTTTTAATTAAACAACTGGTGATTATAATTTAGATAATCTAGTAATCTATTTCAATCCAAATTATAGTGAAGATCTAGTTTTGAGGCTATTCATTAGTTGTAATTCTGTTTCAGTACCAATATATAATGAGGAACCACCTTATTTAATTGATAAAACTTTAGAATCTTACAAAATATTTGTGGACATTTAAACATTTCCTTGTCAAATTGGAGAATTTTTGAATTATACTTCCGGAGGATGTGTAATTTGTGATGCATATAAAAACGAATATTCTGTTGAATTAGAGGCAAAAAGCTGCAGTTACAAAGATGATTCAAAAATAAATTCTATAAAATCTTCTATGATTGAATTAAAGTCTGATTATTGGAGACCATATTACTACAGTAACATTATTGAATATTGTTACCATCTTCCTTAAAATTGTAAAGGAGGCTGGTTGCCAGGAGATGTTTCGTGTTAATTAGGGCATATTGGAGCTTTATGTGAATAATGCGATCTTTATAATATAAGAGGTGATGGACAATTTTCAGTGAGTTAAGAATTCCATTGTGGAAATTGCGATTAAATTTCCTATAATATCTTACTAACTATTTTAATAAGTCTTTGGACTATACTTTCAGTTTTATTATCAGTTAGTAGTACAGTTGCTATGATGAAAGATTTTATTCGAGATATAAGATTAAAGGCTTTTGGATTATCTCATTCTATAAAAGAAGCATCGCCAGCTATTTTAATTAAAATATTTACAAATTATTTATAGATTATACAAGCAATCTCAACATTTAAACTAGAAGTACCCTTTAATGTACTTATAATCATATAAGGTTTTGCTAATCCGATTGGATCTATGGCATATTCATTAGATTGCTTTATAGTATCTTTTGCAAATATATAAATTATTTACTTTAAATTAATATGGAGTTTGATTATGGCAGTAATTTATTTAATGTTTTTTTTTCTTTTACTTGGAACTGCTGTTTCAATAAAATTAATTAGGCTTGATGTTTCTTATATTTCAACTCCTTTTATCTATTTATTCATATATTTATAACCAAATTTGATAGGTTAAATTATCTCATTATTATCTTACAGAAAGATTTCAAATGAGAATTGGATTTAAGGAAATGTTTCATATTTGTATAATACGAATTCTCATTAATAATGGATTTATTCTTTATGTTTTCCTCTTTTATTCATTATTAGTTCTTTTATTCCTTGCTGTTTATGGTTTGGGCTATTTAAAAATAAACATTAATTGAATAATATAAGCATAAGGAGAATTTGGGGATATTTGTATAATGAGTATAAAAATAATGCTTATTATTGGGAAACATTAAAAATAATTGAAAAAGAAGCAATAATAATTGTATTAATTTATTATAATGATCATATTTAAATTAAAGCTTCAATTGTTTTCCTTATATTATTTTATTACAGCTTTTTAACAAATTCATCCAAACCATACGCTACAGGATAATTAAATCGCTTGGATGCATAATCTACAATTATCTGTGCTATATCAATAATTATGGCTAGTTGTATTTATACAGCATAATAACAAAGATTAAATGAAATTATTTTGCCTTCTTACTTTGTAATTGGATTCATAAATTCTTTATATCTGATTTAGATGATTCTTTAAATTATCTTATCTTATTTTAAAAAATTTGACCTACTAATTGATAGATTTAAAGAAATTATTTTGAAAAATTTTCCAAATATAATTTCATAGCATCCTAAAATTTATAATTTCTTAGAAGGGAAAAAATAAAAGAAATTAAGAGTTAAAATAAAATATAAGAAATTAAAAGATTACCTATTGGCTAGAGCAAGAAAAAATTTGTAATTTAAAATGTATTATAATTAATAATTATTAATAGGCTTAATGAAAATTTTCTATCAAATTAAGGAAGTTTGAAGGGATTTGAGTAAGAATAAAATTTTATTCTATCTCCCTAAATAAAAAGTATCTAAAGTGAAGTTGTTTTGAATACAAGTTAGTTAATTTCAGAGAGAACAAATTAAATTTAAAAATATCCTGAAAACTAATAAAAATCAATTTTTTATGCATTTTAAAGAGATAATAAATAAAGACTTTTAAAGGTGGAAAATATTCAACATCAGAAACCTGAAAACTCTACTTAATGAATCAAAGAATGTAATCATTACAATTTATTATCATATAAATATTTACAGTCATATTATGATCAATATAGATTAATTAATATATTTCTTTTTATTAATCCATAATCAATTAGATAATTTTATTAATTTAGATAATGATCTTTTACTTTAATCTCAATTTATATTAAGTTTTTTATAATATAACAATACGAACTATTATAAAATATTTTTAATAATTAATCTTCAAATGATTTAGCAGTAAATAAATGAAGAACTAAAGTGTTAAGAACATAATGAATAAGCTATTTTTATTGATTTTTCAATTAAGGATTCCCGCCTATAAAATAAATGCTTAAAATGTGTTGGAAGGGAGAGGTAATTATGGGTTGATGTTCAAGAAGCAGACAGGCATTTGGAAAATGTTAAACAAACAGTTTTGAATGAGAAATAAGTTCTTCATTAGAAGAATTTAGAAGTCTTATAAGAATTATCTACTCAACTAAAATAATTGAAGATAACTTTTAATAATAGTCTTGATAAGACATTATTAAACATAGATCAATAAATTGAGTTCATTTAAAAAGCTATAGACAAGGAAAATAAGTCAATTATTGGACTAAAGATATCTCAACTAGATTCTTTTGAATCTCAAAATAATAGTGTATAACTTTAATAAATAGATTATCAATAATTATAATCTTTTTATGGAGAATAAATTAAAAGATTAAGAATGGATTAATAATTTATTTAATTTGAAGAAAACCTTAAGAAAATTGAATATAATCAAAAAGATTCTATCTAAGAAGTAATTCAAACTTTTTCATCAGGAATTTTTTAATCTAGTAGAATTTTAAGTTAAAATTGGCATTGTGAAAATCACTAACTTTAGGTGGCTCTTGTTGATTTAAATGAATAGGGAGTAGTTCCAAATAGATTAGCTTGTATTGATTGTGTTACTGAATATCCAATTAAATATACTAAATTGGAATAATTAAAATAATTTTGGTTAGATTATGTAGACAAGACTTTAAATTTTTAAGAACAATAATAAATAAATCTTAATGAAAAGGCTTCAAAGGCAATGTCAAAATTTTCAGTTTATTAAGAAGTTATTTCTAATCTAGTATAATAATTAACTTAAACAATTTTGTTAAGGAATACTCCTAATTGTCAAGTAACATAAAATTTGATTAAATTGAAAACAAAAAATTGGTATTAATTAGACAAATCAGAAATTATTGAAATTTCTAATCTCATGAGTATAACAAAAAAATAAGAAATTATTAATGATTCCATCAGAAATGAATTTAAAGGATTATAAATTTAATTAAAAACAAACTTCTTAGATTCTTTCAAAACTTTTCAAGAAAATCTTATTGCAGCATTTTAATAAATATATGAAGAAATATAAATTGAATTAAATACTGTAGAAACAGAATAATATTCTAATAATTCACCTGTAACAGAGTCAGGAAACTTATAATTGTAGAATTAGAATACTATGAAATAACCGTTTAAATATGAAATAATTAATACTATTAAAACTGAGAAAATTCAAACATTTGCTTTTAATGAAAATCATTCTCTTCTTGCTGTTGGTTATTATGATTCAAATAAAATTACAATACATGAATTCAATTAAGGATAAATGAAAGAAATTTAAAAATTAACAGATCATAAGGAGTGTATATTTTGTTTAAATTTTTTCAAATAATCATAACAATTAATGTCAGGCAGTTATGATAATACAATTATTATATGGGAAATGGATAGCAACAATTAATGGAATTTTAAATTTAGACTAAATGGTCATGAAGGAGGAATATACTGTTTAAGTTTAAATAAAAATGAGAATTAGATTATATCTGGTAGTGCTTATTAATCAATAAAGATTTGGGATAAAGATTAGGAATGGAAATGCATTTAAACATTATCTGTACATAAAAATTAAATAACTAGTATTAGTCTAAGTTAATCTAATTAATATTTAGTTTCATGTTCAAATAAAGATGAATAAATTTTCATTTTTAAGTTTTAAGTTGATTAAAAACTTTGGATTTAATTTTAGGCAATAAAAATGGATAATTGGGGACTCAAAGTATGCTTTTTAGAAAACTTAACTTTTGCATTTTAACCATTTAACAATACAAAAATGTACATCTTTTAAATAAATAATTCAAATAATTAATTTATTAAGGAATGTGAAGTAGAAGTAAAAGCAGGAAATAGTTGTTATCACTTATTTCCCTTACAATTTATATAGTCAAAGCTAATGATTGTCAATAGAAATGGAAGCACAATTAATTTTATAAAAAAATAAGAAAATGGATCATATATAACTTAATTTTTTATTGATTATGAAGCTGATAGAATTTTTGGCACAATGTCTGAAGATGGATAATATTTGATTACGTGGGATTAGTAATCTTAAGAAATTTAGATAAGATAATACAGAGAATGAAATTATTAGATACAATAATTAAAAATTATATTTAATTTTTGTTTAAACCCTTTTATAAGGGAATAAATTTGAATTGAAAATACTTTTAGGTTTGTCTAAAAATAAATACAATTCAATTAGGATTCTATTTCTTAAAATAGCACAAATGAATTTTCTTGAAATTATTGAAATAAATTATTACTAAAATCACCAATATCAATAATTTGGATATCATATTATTCTTTAGCTTTGATTACATAATGATACTGAAAAAATTTTCAATAATGTCTTAATTTATATAATTTTATGTTAAAATACTTTAATTTTAAACATGAGTTTTATAATAAAGCTAAGATTTTTATTGAAGTAAAGTAGTTTAAAGAATCTATATTGAAATAAATTATGTATAAGCTGTTAAAAATTTAAAAGATTACTTTCTATACATGTTTATATTAAAAATATTATCTTACTTTAGAACAATAATAATACTTTTCAAAAATTTCTTAGCTCATAGGCCATGCTTAATCCAGCACTCTAAAACAATTAAAAATTTTATTTATTATATTCATTTAATAATCCCTTAATATAAACTAAATGAAATAATTGATATTAAATGAACTATAATCTCTCCTTTTTCAGATTCTGATAGAATTTACCAATTTTTTAAATTTTCAAATAAGTATTTAGATAATCTCCATCTCAAAGTAAAAGGGGAGCTTCCGAAATCTATGAAGGAGCATATCTAAATTTCTCAGAGCATTAATTTAATATAACTCAGCTGCTAAGTTACTAATAATTATTAGAAAAGTAAAATTAAGCTAAAGAAAAAAAATATAAATTGTTCATAAGATCATTAGGAAATAAGAGTAAAATATACTCTAACTTTATATTTAGTGATTAGAAATGTTATAATTGAATAAAAGAAAACAAAACAGTATTGTCTTTGAGAAAAATAGATTGATATGCCTTAATGGTATAAACATACAATAATTAGATTTAGAAATTCTGTTAGAAAGAATAGTTCGAGAATCATACTTTATTCAAGAATAAATACTATTATAATTATTTATGAATAAATATTTTCATTTGTTTTTAATTAAAAAAAATAAAATATTTCAATTAAAAATTAATTTCTATTAATGCTATCAACTTAAAAAAATAATTTGTACAGAAACTAAAAGAATGAATAGAAATTTTTAGAAAGGTAGTTCAGTAAAACAAATCTTAATTCGATAATTAATTCTCATAGCATCAATGAGTAAAAATATTAAGCTTTCTTAAGATTTGGTTGAAATATCACTGAACTACTCTATATTCATATTGAAAAAAAAGTGTAAAATAAAATGAATTATATCATAATAAATATCACATCACTTTGTTTTTAAATTAAAGTGAAAAATAATTATAAGAACTGAAATTTAAATATATTGAATTGGATAAAAAAATAATTTATTAATAATTTATTAACCTAATTATTCATTTTTATAGATCTATGATAGAATCATGGTCTAAATTTTGATCATTGTTATGTTAATCATTATATTCATTAGCCTCTTATTTAATTTAGTGTTATATTTCTTAAACTTACTCTATTTTGTTAGATTCAACTTCAGCAACTTATTCTTAATTTTATTATTCTTATTTATTAGATTCTTGGTTTTCAGTATTTTCATGTTATTCATTGGTTTCATGTACTTCTTATTTGATTTCATGAATCTCTTATTAAACTTAATGTACTATTTCTTCTACTTTTTCTAAATTGCTAGAATGACCTTCAGGAACTTATTCTTAATTTTATTATTCTTATTTATTAGATTCTTGGTTTTCAGTATTTTCATGTTATTCATTGGTTTCATGTACTTCTTATTTGATTTCATGAATCTCTTATTAAACTTAATGTACTATTTCTTCTACTTTTTCTAAATTGCTAGAATGACCTTCAGGAACTTATTCTTAATTTTATTATTCTTATTTATTAGATTCTTGGTTTTCAGTATTTTCATGTTATTCATTGGTTTCATGTACTTCTTATTTGATTTCATGAATCTCTTATTAAACTTAATGTACTATTTCTTCTACTTTTTCTAAATTGCTAGAATGACCTTCAGGAACTTATTCTTAATTTTATTATTCTTATTTATTAGATTCTTGGTTTTCAGTATTTTCATGTTATTCATTGGTTTCATGTACTTCTTATTTGATTTCATGAATCTCTTATTAAACTTAATGTACTATTTCTTCTACTTTTTCTAAATTGCTAGAATGACCTTCAGGAACTTATTCTTAATTTTATTATTCTTATTTATTAGATTCTTGGTTTTCAGTATTTTCATGTTATTCATTGGTTTCATGTACTTCTTATTTGATTTCATGAATCTCTTATTAAACTTAATGTACTATTTCTTCTACTTTTTCTAAATTGCTAGAATGACCTTCAGGAACTTATTCTTAATTTTATTATTCTTATTTATTAGATTCTTGGTTTTCAGTATTTTCATGTTATTCATTGGTTTCATGTACTTCTTATTTGATTTCATGAATCTCTTATTAAACTTAATGTACTATTTCTTCTACTTTTTCTAAA